AGTAGTCATGACAGTAGTACAGGTATTGAAGTACAGGTATGTTCAGAAAAACACAGAAATAAAGATAAAGGTGGTGGAGTAGCATTGTATATTAATGATGAGGTAGACTCTAAAAAAATTAGAAGTGATGGAATGGATAAGTCAGAGTCTGTTTGGGCCAAAATCACTTTGAGAAAAAAGCTATTATAGGTTACACAAGCACTAGCTTGGGGTGTGCTACAGCCCTCCAGGATCCAGTTTGGATATTGAGAGAGATCTGTAACAGGTGGCTCGGAGGGATGGATTTCCTAGTGGTTACAGCACGTGGCTCACAGCCCCCTGTTTGGTTGAGCAGCCTCAGTCTTTAAGGCCAGGGTGGGTAGGGGAACCTGGGCCCTTCCACTCCACTGGGTCCCAGCCCAGGGCCCTGTGTACATCAACCCCTGAATGCGCAGAGGAGTTGCGAGGGGCCCTAAGGAAGTCAAGATCTGCTTCCCTGGGCTACTTCCTACTGGTATGTTCAATTGGGAGTGTGGCACCTCTAGTCCAATTTGCTGGGTGGCTTGTTTCCCATAGGGTCTCCTTTTGGGTCTTGGGCAGTGCCTTGCCATGGTCCCAGGTGCCTTTAGGCAGGGCAGCCACAAGCTGATGAGGGCAAGCCTCACAATGTCTCTGGGGTTTACTCACTCAGTTACCTCTGGTGACGGTGGCTCCTAGATCCCCTTCAGGGTCTTCCTTGGCTGGGGAGACAGTGCTCACTTCCAGATGGCTACCTTGGCTGGAAGGCTATTGCTCATTCCCCTCAGGCAGGCTAGCTCCTGCCTCTTCACCAGTTTTCCCTAAGATTCCCTACATTTTAAAGAACTGCATTTAAAACTAAATTTAAAAGGTTGTGAAGTCTAGCACTTAAAATTTAGGAATTACCTTAATTCAGCTCCCTTGTACATATGCATTATGACATAGTCTTTACTTACATGGACATTTACTAGCTTTTCCACAGTGCCCCTGCCTCATTCGGTGCACTGGATGGACAGTGCTCACGTAGTGAGCAGCCATTCAGTATTATTACATGCCTTTGGAACCCTGCTCTGAATACAATATATTAATTTCCTCTTGGATTTTTCTATGGAATTCATCACCGTAATATCTGAGTGTTTTACAAACAATAGAGTATTTATCTGCACAATACCTCTGTGAGGTGATATGGGAGTACTATCCTCAGGTTACAGATGGGAAATGGAGGTACAGTGATGTGATTAGTATATACCCACTTTGGGCAGCCAAACTGAGATGGCCGTTGCTTCATTTTTCCAAGAACGTAGCATTTTATAACACTTGTTCAAAACAAAGATCTCACTGACTTCAATTGCAGCTGTGAGTGCTCAGAACTTTTGGAAATAGGATCCCATGGTCTCAGTTTAGGAACTCAGAAGTTGAGGACCACACAATTAGTGACCACTGTGAAAAGTGATTTATGTGACTCGGTCAGCATCCCATAAGAACTCTGTAGCCGAGGCAGAAATAGAAAACAGTTCTCTAGGGTGACATTCAACTCCCCAAATCATGAGACCATCTCTTATTTTCCTGCAGTCCCATGTCTCATTCACTTTAGACCTTCCAACTTGTGCAACAGTGATCCTGCAGGCAACAGCCTCCTTCACTACACTGCTCTGATTTGTTCCCTAAGCACCTTCCAATCTGTGCACTGATGAATAAAGCAGGGATCCTGTGAAAAAAATATTACATGATCATGTAACTACCAACTGTATTATGACACAAATACACAAGGGGCCCTAATTAATGTTGCACATATCTGGCATTTCTTAACTTTTTAGTGCTTGTTTTTACAACATTAGTGTTCTTTTAATGTAATTTTTTGTATGTAATCTTCTAGGATTTATAAAAAGCAAATTTTTTAAAAATAGGAAATTCTATCACATTGAAGTATATGACTCCACATGGTTCACGGCATAGACCTATACTACTAGAACTAAGAGAATATCTGATGGCAGTGGTAGGTTATAATTCTCTATATAGGCTAGTCACTAGATGGATATGAGGTATACATTCTGCCAGTGGGTTTCACGGCTGTTTGCCAACAGCCGAGAAATGTTGGGACTCAGGAATCCTGGGTTCTGTTCCAAGTTCTGAGGAGAGTATTCTCTAGTGGTTACAGACTCTTCTGCCTAATCCCATCCAGCCTGTCCTTATCCCAATCACAGTATTCCCACACACCCCACCTTTGGCTTCTCATCCCAGACCAAGTGTACCCGCCTCCCTTCTTCCGCTGCTTGTTCCAGTACCAGTTTCCTTCTCTGTTCCCTAGATTACATATCTCATTTCCCCCTAAAAATATTCCATGTCCCAGTCCTGTTCTTCCTTCTCCTTCCCTTTCCCACCCCTTTGTCTTCATGGCCCAGTCCCCCACTTTAGCTCAACATCCCATTGCCAATATACTCCCCATTCGCTCTTGACTCCCAGTTCGAGTCACCTCCTCCTCAGCAGCTTAACCCGGTCTCCCCATCCCACTCATGCACCACACACACTCCCCTACTCTTCCCTGGCCCCTGTTCACAAGGTCTCCACTCACCAAAAGAGCTTCCACTTTTTCCTTGTTGCTTGGTGGTAGCAGGGGGATAGAGCACAGTGGAGACAACCTCCTTGCTCTCAGGTCCTGTGCCTGGTGTCACAGTGGCCTGCAGTAGCCAGGAATAGCAATTGCAGGAAAAGTGCTGCTCCGCCCCTGCACTTTTGGGCAAAAGCATGGTCAGTGCAGATAGACTCTACAGAGAATTTAGCTGAAAAACTGTAACAAGTCTCTTCTGAACATGTATGAAGTTCAATTTTCATAGACTTATAATTTGGCCAAATGTGGAGATATTTTACTGTGATGGCAAAAGGCATGATTCCATGATGCTAGGGCAGCCCCCATCTCCTTCCCCAGCCATAATTCAAGTTCCTGCTCTTATGTATGGAGGTGCTAGAACTTTTCAGTGAAACACTGCTGTGAATTTTTTAACATGACAAATGGCCAAACTATTTAGCTGAAACATTAAAAGCTTGAACAGTTAAAGTGTGGCAAAGTTATAAGCAACTGAAAACAGGACTGAAATAATGGAAAGTGTTATTCAATCTTAACAAAGCAGTTACTACCTGCACCACCTATAATTACTCTACATACAGGCATTGGCTGCAGCTAATGTGTTTCTTGAAGACTTTCCAAAAAGAATGCTGAATTTAGGAGTGACTTCTATAATCAATTAGCATATTTAAATATAACTATTTCCATACTGCAATCAGGGTAGTGAGGATGTGGTCAAGCAGCCCTGTACCATGGTTAACTAGTACAGCTTTTTCTGAAAATGCCATGTACCATATTGTCTCTTCTTTTCCAGCACCCACTGATGGCGCTTTGTTGCCCACTCTTTCCCTGACCAGAAATAAGGAAAGAACATTGAATCATGGAACTGCATGTGCTTACACAGGGAGACGGAGGCAGTATACAAATTACACATTGCACCAGATATTATGCCAGTGATGATGAATGTTTGCCTCTGAGTCAGTGCCTTTTTTTTTTTTTTTGTCATATCCTTACTGTTTCAGTCAAAGTCTGAGGCCAGACTTCGAAATCTTGGAGCATTGTTTCTGATGCTTATGGAACTAGATGCCTAAGGAGCCATTTAGAATGTGAGACCTCACAATTCATATAAGCAAAGCTCCTTTATGACAGAGCCATCTTTTGTACTATGTGTGTTTCTGTGTTTCCTTCCAGCAAATTGTGTGTATCTTTCCCTTCTTTAGCCTCCACTATTATATCATATGTCTATGAATACCACTTAACTGTGAGACTAGTCTTTTCTGAAAAGCCAGAGTCTTGCCTGATCATGTTGGGGGCAGGGAGTGAGCGCAAGAATCCCATAAGAGAGGTAATATTGTGGGTATATTTTCAGAGCAACTTCTGCACAGTAGATGTCCTCTGAAAATTGATATGCTAGTCAGGGTGACAAAAAGAGATCCTTCTTTTTTCCTACAATGTACGCAACTCACCCACTTTGAAAATTCTGGCTAAGTGACTTATGCAGGATCGAACCAGATGTCTGTGTAAAGGGAAACCCCATCTTCTTAATCCAGTATCATTTACCTAACCACCTTCAGCTCATAAACCACATTCTATTTGAAATACACCAGTTTATTCTGTGAAAGAGTTTTCAAGTTTAGATTCACTTTGAGAATCTAGAAAGAAAAGTCTAACCAAACTAAAATTAAGATTTTTTTCATCAAAGTAGTCACCTGAAAATGTTACATCTTTTTTAAAGCAGGGTAAAGCACAAATGTAGTAATTTTATTTATTTATTTTACAGTTAATTAGATATTTGACACATAATAAAGCATAGGCCAACCCATGGTGATTTATACACTGGAGTCATTAAATCAGCTCCCTGTATCATTTAATTCTGTAATGCATTTTGAGAAATATTTTTGAAAGATGCTATATAAATTAGTGACTGCTTTAACCCCTTAACTCTCTCCAGTCTGGGCTGTCTCTCACAATGCCTTGCTACTGACAAGCAGGAAGCCCCTCCAGGCGCTGTTATCACTCAGAACAATACCATGTGGAACCCCTCACCCAGCTAGATTGCATGAATGCTCACACAGAGAAAGGCACCAAAGCCAAATCTCTCCAGCTTCCAGCATTATATCTCAGGAATATACCATTTTGCACTGCTCAAAATGAGCAGTGCAAATTTATTAATTGGTTCACCACTTCACCAATGGAAAATGGATATACACTAGTCTTTCCAAACCTGAGCAAATTACAAAACACTTCTGGCAAACTCACTGGTAAAGATAAATAGTTAAACAAATGTATTGACAACAAAAGATAGATTTTAAGTGATTATAAGTGATAGGCAAAAAGTCAGAGTTAATTACCAAAAGAAAAGAAAATATAAGCATGCAGTCTAAACTCTCAACCCTATTAGACTGGGCAACATCTAGATTAAGCAGTTTTTCTCACCCCACTGGATATTGCAATTCATAGTACACAGATTTCACCCTTGAAACCTGGCCCAGTTTCCTCTGTTGGAGTGTTAAGACTTCTCAGTGTCCTTGTTGCTTGCAGCATAGATGGGGGAAGGAGAAAGGCCAAACATGGCCACTGTGTCTGTTTTATACCCTTAGTCCATGTGCTTGTAGAGCACAAGTGCAGGCATGTCTGGGGCCATTGCTGAGCCTCCAGGGAAGGCTGAGAAATTCCCCTGGTGTGGCCTCATGCAGGTGAGTCATTGAATTGTAGCTTCCTTGCTGGACAATGGCTGGTGATTTCTGTTCAGCAGCATCCACCCAGGTGTTGGTTACCTCCCTTGTCATTGTCTCTGTATAGCTAGTATCTGGGCGCCTCCAAAACCCACAGCACATTTTAATGAAAACCATGCAACCCAATTCTTATAATTTCATATGTATTGGTGATACACATATTTAGATAGAACAATGTCTTTCAGCAGATCATAACCTTTCCCCGATACATTACAAGGCATGCTTTATATGCAAGATTATGATTATATAAAATGAGGAATATGGGGGTTACAGGACACTCCCCCAAAGTATAGACTGTCCCACTCTGTTTTTACCAAGGCTAGCTGTGCCTAGGCTAAAACTAAATATCTCTCTGCCACCCACTTCCTTTAATATAACCTGCACCTGTAGAGCATATGGAGAAGAAACCCAGTTTACACCTCCTATTCCGTAGCATGCTCGTCAGCCCGATTCAGTAAAGATATTGACAGGAGAAAGAGAAAGACTGGTCATTTAAAGACTTTAAGTGATGGAAAATGCCTCTTGACAACTTGTTGTAATGGTCAATTATCCTCACTGTTAAAAATTTGCACCTTATTTTCAGTCTAAATTGGTCTAACCTCAGCTTCTGCATTGCCTCTAGTTATACTTTTGCCTGCTAGTAAGGAGGTTTCAGCCTATCAGAAATTTTCTTCCCAAGTAGGTACTTATGTGTTTTTCATGAGGGACATAATTTAATGTGCCCATTCCATGCTGATCATTTCATATGTGGTCAGTTTTCTGCTTAGTTTCAATGCAATTCACAAACTAATCTACCATTCATGACTATGATAAAATCCATTTGCTATAATCCTGCCAATGGAATTGGTTACTAAAATCACTACGTGGAAAAAAGGCTGGAGGTGTTTCTACTTATCACCAGCAAATCCTACCTAGAGTTTCAGTGGAAATTTCACCAACACAATTCACAGGAAAAATTCAGCTAACCATGATCTATTAGTAGTTAATCATCAAAGGTACAGCTACATGAATGGGGGAAAGGTTCTGTTACTTTTTTCCATTACATGCACATATCTTTGCATTTTCCCATCTAGCTGAATGCAAACAAATGACTGATTTTATTTATATAGTCACAACCATTAGCTAATTTCAGAGTGTGATCAGAATCTATTGCAGAGCTGAAACAATTTCCATGAAGAGAGGATTACATGATACTATCCCATTTGGTAATCAAATTGGGCTTTAGAACCTGTAGGAGCTATCATAAATTACCAGAGCCCTGGGCAACAGGGACATATTTAACTTTAAAACACTAATAACAGCTATAAGATTCTGGATGATCAGACTATCAACTACATGCAACTCCAATGACTCCAACTCCAACCATTTTCACATGCCAAGTTATTTCTTTAAATGTGCTAGATTAAATTTAAAATTGTCTTTTTGTATGGGATCTCTCATACTTCAAGGAGATGATGATATCACCATCGCCCTCAAGGAGGCAGCAAAAAGCTCCTGTATTACAGCTTCTGACTTCTCCAGTCTCTAGTGAGCAGGTTGCTCAAGTCCAGTGATTCCATTTCTTCCATCAAGGTCCCATTACCTAGCATTAACACCTGATCTCCACTACACAAGGTTGATACTAGAGCCAGCTGATTTTTTCTTTACGAAGGAGTTAACTAGTAATTTAGACCTTTGTCTAGATTGCTGATTTCAACTACTTACTGTTTATTATGCATGATGTGTGATTTGTCATCTCAGTCACAAAGGATTGTTTCTGCTCCCAGAATGAATGACTGAAACATTGAAAAAAAGACATTAACTAATAATGCACTTTTCAGAACAAATTTTCAGACAAATGCCATTTGTACTAAAATTCATGAAATTTTCAGAATTTGTGAACTTTATACAAATACACCAGCCACTACAAATAACCATTTGAAGAATTGGAAAAATTTAACAATTTGTTAAGGGTCATGAGGGATTGTCAATGACTGACAATTTATAAAGCAAGATTGGATGTTTTTCTAAAAGATTTGCTCTAGGAATTATTTTGGCGCAGTTCTATGGCCTGTGTTATATAGGAGGTCAGACAAGGTGATCACAATGTTTCCTTCTGTCCTTGGGGGTCTATGAATCTATGAATATGACACCAAGACTAACAATGAATTCAGTACATCTATTTGCAGATCAGTTTGGATGCAGGATGCAGGAGTTACCGGATGAAATTTCAATGGCCTGAGTTCTGCAAGACATCAGAATAGATTATCATAATGGTCCTTTCTGGCCTTAAAATCAATGGACCTATGGAAAGCCTATTTCTAGTTCACTTCGCCTATTATTTGACTGGCTTCAGTTTTTATTATATTTAGCTCTGGTTTTCTAAGATGTCATTTAGGCTCCTCCTTCATCTCAAAAAGGATACTTTTGTAAGCTTTAGTGTGAAGAGGCTACTGATCAGGGCTCATATAGATGATCCACCTTGGCAGAGTTTCCAATGTTTGAAGATTTTATGACTAATGCAAGATGGGCTACAAAATTCTTTGGGCCAGATTCTCATCTCAGTTACACTGTTGTAACTGGGAGTAATTTACTGATTGCAGTGGAATTATTGTAGATTTACACTTGTGTACTTGAGAGCCATATGTAGGTGCTTGTGAGGGCTTTGAATCATAGAATCATAGAATATCAGAGTTGGAAGGGACCTCAAGAAGTCATCTAGTCCAACCCCCTGCTCAAAGCAGGACCAATTCCCAGCTAAATCATCCCAGCCAGGGCTTTGTCAAGCCGGGCCTTAAAAAACCTCCAAGGAAGGAGACTCCACCACCTCCCTAGGTAACGCATTCCAGTGTTTCACCACCCTCCTAGTGAAATAGTTT